ATATAACATTTTATTTAAAATGTTTGAATGTCAGATGACTTACAAATATTTAAACATAGGAAGAAAGAAAAAACGAATGCCCCATTACACATCGAATGTCCATGCCCCTGAATCAATTAGATTTTGGGCCTTGAGCTTCAATACCCCACAATTTTCAGTGGTGTGCCCTGAGCTCCCAATAAGGCAGCTACACATGGTGGTAACATCATGGCCTTCAGGATATGGGGTCTCTTTTGGTTTCGATTGAACTGGAGTCACAAGGTTCTTCTCAATTAGCGTTGGGATCAATTCCTCATATGTCATTGGAATTGGATTAATGTGAGTCTTTTCACATAACACCTTATAAGGTTTGGTCCCCTGATTAGCTAGATAAGATCCTACTATGTTAATCTCAACTCTTTTCTCAATGTCAGTACCACTGTTGCCTCTTATCTTTCCATTATTGACAGCTCTTTCAATCATTTCTCCACACATGATGACATCAGAGAAACTCTTAGTGGTATCTCGTAACATGTGGTTAATAAAAGGAGATTTTAATGTATCAATGAATAAAGTGACAAACTACCTTTCAATCATTGGTGGATGCACTTGAGATGCAACATCCCTCCATCGTTGTGCATATTCTCAGAAGCCCTCATACGCTTCATCTCTATATTTTGAAGTGTTGTTTGATCAGGGCCATATAAGTCATGTGCTTGTATTGACCCAAAAAGGCATGAGCCAAATCCTTCCAGGAGCGGATTTGAATACAACTCAGTTTATTATACCACTTGAAAGCGGGTCTAGTTAAACTGTCTTGAAAACAGTGGATCAACATCTAATCATTGTTGGTATATCTAGTCATCATTCCAATAAACATCGTAAGATGGGAAGTAGGGCAACTGATTCCATTATACTTTTCAAAATCGGGCATTTTGAATTTGGGTGGGAGTGCCAAGTTAGGAACTAAGACTAGTTCACTTACATCCATTTCATTATGAGAGCTTTGTCCTCTTGTTCCTTTGAATGTCTCTCTGCACCAATTTTTTAATTTCTCAGATATCTCATTCTTGGATTTTTCTATCTCATCAAGATTGAACATGTTGTGATTAGTAGGGTTATCCTGAGGATCTAACACAGTTGTTTGAATCTTAGTGGCAGAGAAGCCTACTTGGTGGCTTGGAAGCCTCTCGGGTGAAATGAGTAGTTGTGGATTAGCCTGTGCAATCACATACTTAGAGGTTTCCATGGTCAAGGAAATCTTCTCTTTGCTTATTTCTTGGTTGATCCCAATCAATTTTGCTACAATTTGGTTAACTAGGTTGTCTTGGTTTTGCAAGATGCGATCCACAGTGGCCTTTTGCGCTTGCTCCAGTTTAGCTTCCCAATATGTTTGCATCCTTTGCAAGTTCTATTCCAAATCTTTCTTCATTTTCTCAAATTTTTCTTTATTCTTAGTATTGTGTAAATGAAATTGCTCAATTAGAAACACCTCCTAAGAGTCCTCCATGAAATAAAACCATGTATTCACGATTAATACATGTAAAAATGCCTAAATAAATTTCATATAGAATGAAAAGATGCAAATGCGAATGAAAAAAGTGTTGGTCCCAAAGATGAATATCATAAAACAAGTTTCATTAGAGACAAAAGTCTTCACTATTATAATATAGTCCATCTTTACATACATGCTCTCGCTTTGTCTAAAGTAGGTTAATGCTTTATTTTTTTTCTCTCTGGACTTCCTTTAGCCATCAGTGCACGTCTGTGTATGAGTCTATTTGATTGAAATTTTTTTCTCCCTTTTATGAAACATTTCTATTTGATAGTTAATTGCGGATCAACACCTTTCCAATATGTCATGACAATGCAATGCAAAATAGGTGATAAATGACACAAAAAATGTGGATAAATGAATTAGTACAAGCAAGATAATCAATATAGTTAAAAAATACTATTTAAAGATAAATATAACACCTACCCAATCATGATATCCACCCAAGCATGCTTTCATTAAATATAATTCCTACCCTAATGTGCATTCTATCCAATATGATTTACTTCAAGAAATTAATCCTATTCGCATGGTATTTAATTCAAAGCTTTCAAAAGAAATCTATTCTATGAATTTAAAGTAAAATGTAAAGGTTTAGAGTCGTTCCTCCTTTGTGTACACTCATTTTGGTGCCTACTAACAGATAGAGATTCTGTATGGCTCTACCTAGGATGACCACTCTATGGTTCACTATATTTATGGACTCGACTCTAACAGGGAAAGATACTCGAATTGTCCTTGTTTTCGGTGCCCCTTGGGCTACCAAACCCTCAATCTTCACCTATCATAGGCATAAACGGATCGAGTTTAATTCTAGGGCATTTACTTCCCTATACCCATACGAGGATTAAATCCCTACGAAGGTATAAGGCATTTGTACACCAGAGGTTATTTGCTAAAGCTCATACGAAGAATAAATTCTTACGAGAGAAAAATGTTCACCCCTACTTAATTGTGATATAGCTCGGGTGTAAAGCTTATTTCATGTAAGTGCATATGAGGTGTGTGAGGAGGAACATACAAACCTTCGACCAAACAAAACAACAAAAATAAAAGAAGTACTTTCGAGAGAAATTTTGGTGAAGTTGAAAACATTAATTTAAACATTAGCACAACTATTTACATAAAGAAATAATTTAAAATTCAATAAAAGGATCATAAGTTAACTATAGACTCGAACTTATAATTTCCATCACTATAACAATATATAAGCAACTGACAGCCTGACTCGCTGAAGTGTTCCCAGTAGAGTCGCCAAGCTTTGTAATGTTTTTTTTGACAAACGAGTAATTTTTCGATGAAAACCTTGAATATATGACTTATTTGGGAAAAATCAAAATTTTGTTTTTTTATTAAATTTAGTAGGCATCACCATAGACCTTTGGGTTAGGTAGGTCGAATACCTAATAATGTCTTTTAGGACAATTGTAAGAAAAATCATTTTTAAGTATTCGAGAGTCGATTACGCATGTAGAAGGGTAAGCACCCCCATAACGCCCAAAATTGGTACGTAGTCGTTTATATGTTAACGAAATAGTGAAAATTGTAATTTCGAGTCGAAATTAAAGTATGATTCATTTTATCAAATATTGATTAACTTGTTTAGAATTATTTAATAAACAACATATCTCATTTTGAGAAGAGACCACGAGATTTGAACTCCAACTACTAGGAATGCTATCTCATCGATTTCTTCTCTATAAAAGAATGATATCTCTTTATTCATGGTAACAAGAATGCACAAGTCTAATATTCGTGTCATAAAATGTCGAATAAAATAATGAAACATGTTATTAAAGAAAATAAATCAAATATATTGTCGTTATATAAACTAAAGGAATAATAATAAAACTATGCTTGCAAATATTGTTGAACGAGTAAATAAAATATAAACAAACATTTGTTACACGTGCCTAGTAAATATAAAATTAAATAGCAAAATTATAAACTCTAATGGCTAAACAATTACATTACAAAAAAATCAGTTACCCATTGCAACAAATAATAAAACAATATCAATGTTAAAATACAATAATAAGAGAAAAGTGCCTGAAATGCAGTAAATAAAAAATAGTAGCTAAATTAAAAATAATAAGAAAAACATGACTTTATTAACTAATGTGTAAATAGGCGCCTTAACTGGGGGACCCGGACATGGTTTCCCCTATTTTAAAACCTGAACAATTACCTAACAGTATAAGAATGGGAAAATAACACATCAGGATTTGTAAATTTCAAATAAAACCAAAATGGCCTAAATTGGTGACCAAAATGAAAATATACGGCCAAGTTATAGGGACCTAGACGTGATTTAACTTAAACTTTAATATCTAATCTATTTTAAAATCTAAGAAGAACCTAAAACTAAACCTAACCTAAAATAAAACTAAAGCCCTCATCCTTCCTCTTTTCATCATACGACGTCGATCCAAAGAAAACCAAAGGTCAAACGGCCAGCGGTGGCCGCTCCACGCTTCAGTCAACTCTCTATCCGACCGAGGGGAGCTCGAACACAGCCTAAATGGATCATAACTTCTCTCTCTTCTCAACTAAATCTAGAATTGAGCCAAAAGGAAAACTATGGTTATCAAAACTAGACCGGACCATTCGATTCGACCGGTTGAACCTAGAACCAGTTACCTGTCCGGTCCGGTCAGCTTCCAAAACTAGTTTTGCAATTAATCGGTTGGGAATCGGTAGAACCAGTTGGGAACCGATAAAATCGGTGTGAACCGGTTGGGATCTGACAAAACTGGTGTGAACCGCCGGTTTTATATTTTTTTTTAAATTAAACTAAACGACATCGTTTGTTATGATTTTTTTTCAGTCTCAAATTTATTTTCTGATTTTAGTTATACAATTATATTTATTATTTAATATGTTTTACCTTTAATATTATGTTGTAGTTGATAAATAATTTTGCTTTACTTGATTTTATGGTATTTAACTTATATATATTATGACTTGTGATATTTTTATATCTTTTAATATTACAAACTTAAAAAAGTATTATATATATATTAATATTATTTTGAATATTATGTAAAATTTAAAAAATATTATTTTATATAAACCGGTTCAATCCGATTGAAACCCGATTGAACTAGTGAACCAGTATCTTCACCAGTTTAAGGTCCGGTCTGGTTTTAAAAACATTGAGGAAAACAAAATCAAACTCTTCTAAAACAAAATTGACCACTCACGCTCAACCCTGGCGAACGACAACCTCCTTCTCGACGATCAAACCTCATAAGGCCAAGGTAAAAATGAAACTCTCCTCTCTTATTCTTTATTTTGAAATGATAAGTAAAGTTGCCGCCAATATTGAAAGACAGAACAAAATGGAGACCTTTTGAGCAAAATGTTCTTTGTATTGGCTTCCATTTGTTTGAATGAAGAAGAAAAGAGCTGTTACAATTGTTCTCTTTGTCCAGAGTGAAAAACCAGAGAAAAAAATACCCTACTTTTTCATTAAAAAGGAAGAAGAGAAAGAAAAGGAAAGACCTCCCCCTTTTACATAATGTTTTTGGGTTCTTATAACCCGAGAAAAAAATCATCTACTTTTTACAATTTTTCTTTCTTTTTGTTTGTTGCTGCTGATTTGGTGATGAGGCCATGTGGCCATTGTCGTTGTTGGAGACTTGTTGATAGGGGCTGCTATGAAGCATGGTTGCACAGGGCATGGGGATACTGTGGAGCAGTATGGTCACAAGATGGCTGGTGCATGCGTGGGGTACAACTGCAAAGTTGGAGATGGAGGACGGTGTAGCAGCAGAGGTGGCAGGACAAAAAATGGTGATTACAAACATTACATCTAGTAGTTTGAAAGGTGTTTCATGTAGATAACTAACCTTATTTCCTCTTCCCCATCATCATCTAGCTGTTCATCCTCTCCGACCTCAACAGAGTGGATAAGGCATCTACTTTTATTGAACGCCCACTTTACTTCTTCCGCTCCTTTATTTCTGTCAGCTTTGCTTCTGCAGCTCTTTGGCGTCTAAAGAAAGCAATCTGAAGTAATGCACAAAAGTGCAGACACAACAAACAACATCCCATTCAACTCAACTATCAAGAATGCACCCAAAAATGCCAAAATTTTGTGTTGTTAGCAAAATTATATACTACTACCTTCAAGGCTCTTCGATCATCAAAAGAATTCAAGGAATTTTGTGCAGAAGCTTCCAATTCTTCCTGTGGTACAAGTTTCATTGCCTCGCAAAATGAAATGAATTCATGAAAGACACCACACTTTATAAAGATCCAATTGACATGATAGACAATAAAAGAGAGATTCCAAGTTTTAACAGAATTAAAAAATTGTTACGAAGAAAACTTTTTGTAAAATATTATCTACAATGCTAAACTTCCAAAGTAAGCCTTCAATCAAACTCACTTCGCGCTATGAACTAAACTTTACCTTCAATTTCACATGTGAAATCTTGAGAACTGGTATCCTTGCATCATGCGCAAGCTTTTTGGTCTTCTCTGCAAGATAAAATGGCGCCTGAAGGGTACAACAATTAGAACCTACCTAAAATACTACTTAAATTACAACCATTATTACTACATTTTCAGATTGAAATTCAATCGGCATACTAGGTAAAATTTATCTAAAAGAAAGAGGAGATGACATTATTTATGATTACCAGAATGTACTTAAGATTGGTGGTACTGGTATCATCTTTGGTCTCATTGGATGAGAAAAGCCCTAGCTTGTTGATCATATCGTCGCACTTCCCAAGCATCTTGCATCATTTCTTCACAAGATCCTGCGGGACCAATGAAATTCATAATTTTCATATGGGAAAGCGTTGAAGAAACAATGAATAAAGCATGAGGAGTCGTACCTGATCAGCACCAGACTCAATGACCGTAAGATGGATCTTACGAGCTTGTTCAAAAAGAGTTGCCAACGACATTTCCTCCATTTTGCATTCTCCCATGGGTGACTCAATCGAAAAAAATACTAACCACTCTTCGAAGAAATAATAAAAAATTAGAAAATCTTGAATCGTATGGGTGAAGAAGAATGTTGAATTTCCAGAAATCTCGAGGGTAAATTGGAAAGCACTACTTTTTGTTTATGTAAAGAATGAAACTTGAAGAAAAAAGGTTTCCTGAGAGAAGGAAAGTTATAGAAGTCAGAAGAAAACATTGTAATTGAAAGATTATTTCCAAATAGAATATAAACAAGGAAAGGCATACCAATATAAGGTCAAGAAAGAATTCAATCAAAAATTTGAAAATAATTTAACAAAATAGATTTAGTGTCATTGAAAATTTTAATTAAATATAATATATTAAGTTGTAAGTATTTTAAAATAATTTAAAATGATTTAACTAGGTAATTTATGTGTCTGTTTGTATCAATAATTTTTTTTAAAGATATCGATATTTTCAAAATTTACAACATTTCAGATCGCAACCTAGTTTTCGTGTAGCAACCAACTTATTTGATTATTGTGTGAATGAATAAGGCCATATCAGCTTAAAATCCAATAACATTTTAAGGGTAACCTAAAATGTTAATTATATTAATAACATTGACAATTTACAACTTATTTTTTGACTGTCAGAATGGTAACATTTTCAATTTCAACCAATATTGTTATATAAAAAATAACTTTTTCGGTTATGATATAAAAACATTTTTGCGTTGTAAACCGATTATATCGATACTTTTCTCCCAAAGATCGAGATTTTCGAATTAAAAAAAAGAAAAAAATGATACGGTTATAAAAGTATCAAACTTTTCCACATATATCGATACATAATGAAAAGTATCGAGTAATTATAGATAACATAACCATTTTAGGGAATGAAAAGGCCAGAATCAGAAAAGGAGAAGAAAAGGTTTTCTTCTCTAAAATTTGTTTTTCATCTCAGCTATAGACATCGAAACTGAAGAGAAATGGTGTGAAGAAAATTGAAATCACAATTTGAAAAACATAGAGGTATGTTTGTGAAACCCTAGTTTGTAGTTTTTTGAATTAATGATTTTGGATTTAAGGATTAGGGTTTAGTTTTTAGGGAAAAGTTGTAACATAATGGATTGATTATTGTTATAGGTTGAATGAATGAAAAATAATTAGGGTTAGTAAAACAAGTAGAATGAAGCATTATATGTTGAATGAAAAAGATTAGATTGTAGATTACATTATAGGTTGCACATAATCAGTTACTATAATAATCAGTTATGGCTATAATCGGTTATCCAAAGCAGTTACATTTACATTTACATAACTCTGTATTACAACATATTATTGCTTAAATGTATATTGTAATGAATGAAAAGAAAGAAGAAAATGGCATCACGGGGACCAAAAGTGTGGGAGGAAAAAATGAATGATATGTCAATTATGGTTCGAAAAGAAGATGACTTCAAGGACCAAAAGATAATGAGAGAAATAACACTGAAGCAACCAATGCTTACATAAATGCATTTTTAGTAAGTAACCATGTATTTGTCTAGTACTTGTTTGAATGGTGGTTACTGATTAAAAGTATTTAAGAAGTTTATTTTGATGACAAATTTGAAATGTTTACAGCTTGAATGAATACCAACAGTTTAAGGGAGATGGTAATAAAAAAGTTGGTTCGATATGTAAATTGAATTGAGAACGTTAACGTAAAATATGATAACAATTATAGGGAATGAGTATTATAAACATTATTGGTAAAGAAACATTGATTGCAAGTGAGAAAAGAAGCTTCTATGAAATGAAATTTGATAAACAAAGAGGAGAAAGAACATTATGTAAAATTGTCGAATAAATAAAAGAAGTATATAATGAATGGAGGAGGTTACAAGAAAAGAAAGTATTCATTATATTTTCACGAATAAGTAACTAGTTAAACATGTAACTTTTTTTTATAAAGGTTGTATAGAATATAACATTACATTTTTTTGTTAGATTAAAATCTATATTTGTGGGCACATATGCATAATGTACTATGTTATCATAAAGTATGACACAAAATTAAATGACCAATTATGTTACATGTGTTATATGTATTAAAGTTTCATGGAATCAAAGTGTAGATACTATATTTGTATTTATAATTTGATGAGGGGTGTAATTATAAATACTCAAAAGATTGACCTAATCTCCAATCTATTTAAAGAGGAAGTGGTCCCCAAGAATTAGGTTAACTTGTATTACTCTAATCCCCGTCAGAGAGTTTTTACGGTAAGAGCAAACCAATCTTCTTAGAAGATCAAAACCAAAGAAATAATCAAATATTTCAACCTATCAATTAATTTAGATATGCTTCCGAAAACCCATCTAGTATTTTATTATTGATGATTTGGCATTATTAGATATTAGTTGTTTTCATATTTATTTTTGTGGATGTTGAGTTTGGAGGGAGAAATAAGCTTTAAGGAATTGATTTTAAGGAGGAATTGGATTATAACTCAATTATCATTATCACTTTTGATGATATATATATGTTTATACATGTCGTTAATCAAGAAGTGAATCTAGAATCTCAATAAGGTTATTTTGAACAACTCTCCATTTAAGATAAGAAATCATTTCAGAATAACAAAAACAACCTCATTGAACAAGTGCCATTAAGAAGATCCACGATATGAGAGAAATAATATTTAGATTAGTATGTTGTATTTCTCTAAGAAAGAAGGATAACAGTGGAATGCTGGAGGATGATCTAATCAACTTTCATCATGTCATAAAAGATATGACTCTCATAAGTGGATTAATGCCATAAGAAGAATATAAGTTCTATACAAGATAATAAAGTTTGAGAACCTGACTCATTACCAGAGGGTACAAAGCTGATTGGTTGAAAATGGATATTTAAAACCAAGATGGATGCAAATGGTGATGTTGACAAGTATAAGACATGTCTTGTATCTAAAGGATATACTCATAAAGAAGACATTGATTTTGTAGAGACTTTCTCTTTATTTTCATTAAAAGGCTCTTTCAGGGTAATCATGATACTTGTTGTTCATATTTAATCTTGTGTTACATAAATTGGATTTCAAAATGATAACATTAATAAGATGTTTTATATGGTGCAATTAGAAAATTATTTAAAATGGTACAAAAACTAGTGATATAAAAATTAAGGAAATACATTTATAAGTCAAATATTACTCTCGCTAATTGTATAACATATTTCACCAATTGATTATTTCATTTTCTTTTGATATGAATTTGGTTAATAACTTGATATGTTATAAGTTCAGTGGGAGTAAACAAATAATACTCCTATTGCTAAAGGAAATAATTTTACTCTTGATCAACGCCTTAAGGATGATTTTGAAACTAAGGGAATATTAAAAGTTTGTTAAGCTTTAAAATTAAATGAGGAGTTTAATGTATACTCGGGTTTAGACGCATTCAGATATAGTATATGATTTTAGGATATTAAGCATGTATTTAAGCAATTAGGGTATGGATTATTGGATAGCAGTCAAATTAATTACAATATATTTAGGAATAAAAATGTTACATGCTCACATATTGGAGGTCTAGTAAGTAAGAGATAATTAGGTTTATGGACTCTGATTTATTGGACTATAGATGCAAAAAAATTCATATGAACTGCTAAATATGGATTGAAAAGAAAGACCACTTGAGTTATTATGTGACAACTAGGTTACAATCATTTATTCCATATATAACAAAAACATCTTAAGTCTAAGCACATGGACATCATGTTTCTGGTTGTTAATGAAAATTCAAAGTGATTGTGTGTTTACAGAGCATATTGTTACAAACTCATAATCACACACTTACTAAAGAACTATCACCCAAGGTCTTTCATGAGCACACTACTCATGTGGGTGTAATATCATTTAAGGATATTAGGTTTTAGTGGGAGTTTGTATTTAATGCTCATTTTTTATAAACACAATTTCAGTTATTTTAATTTAAGGACATTTATTTTAGAGTTATTTTTTTAGAAACAAAGTTTGTTTTGGTTAATCCACACTCTGGTTTTGATAAAATTTGATCTCACTAAGGAGGACTAGTTGGAAATAAACATGTGTGGTTCACATTGCATATAATTTCCATGCTACACTCCATGATTGATCTATGTCATTTGGTCGCATTTGTATACGTGACTATTTTTAGGGTCTAGTCATTATTGATATAGCAAAGGTCTCTTTCATTTTATATGGATATAGTTGATGGATGAGATTGTTTTATACTAATTATCATATGATTGCAAATTTTGAGCTTTAAAAGTTATACATTTACATTTACATAACTCTGTATTACAACATATTATTGCTTAAATGTATATTGTAATGAATGAAAAGAAAGAAGAAAATGGCATCACGGGGACCAAAAGTGTGGGAGGAAAAAATGAATGATATGTCAATTATGGTTCGAAAAGAAGATGACTTCAAGGACCAAAAGATAATGAGAGAAATAACACTGAAGCAACCAATGCTTACATATATGCATTTTTAGTAAGTAACCATGTATTTGTCTAATACGTGTTTGAATGGTGGTTACTGATTAAAAGTATTTAAGAAGTTTATTTTGATGACAAATTTGAAATGTTTACAGTTTGAGTGAATACCAACAGTTTAAGGGAGATGGTAATAAAAAAGTTGGTTCGATATGTAAATTGAATTGAGAACTTTAACGTAAAATATGATAACAATTATAGGGAATGAGTATTATAAACATTATTGGTAAAGAAACATTGATTGCAAGTGAGAAAAGAAGCTTCTATGAAATTAAATTTGATAAACGAAGAGGAGAAAGAACATTATGTAAAATTGTCGAATAAATAAAAGAAGTATATAATGAATGGAGGAGGTTACAAGAAAAGAAAGTATTCATTATATTTTCACGAATAAGTAACTAGTTAAACATGTAACTTTTTTTTATAAAGGTTGTATAGAGTATAACATTACATTTTTTTGTTAGATTAAAATCTATATTTGTGGGCACATATGCATAATGTACTATGT